TGGATACATGTGCTGGATGATTTTGTGTCACGCAGACTGGTAAGATAACCGTTTGATAGGGGGCACCGCGATGATTCACGGGGCCCCTCCTTGCTGTGGGAGCCGCTCTTTGAGCACTCCCTCTTTCGTCCGTGTGAAGGACGGTCGTCTACCTCCCGTGAAGTTAATACATCACCAAAACAGTCTCACCCGATAAATAAGTGGCGTAGGCCGCAAACAAATCGGTCTTCTTTGTCTTCATCTTCGACGTTTTTTTAGCCGCTCGTCGTCGCCATTGTAACTATTGGCTTTACGATGATCATGGTATTGCTGGGCCTACCGTGTACCGCCTTTCGTGTTCTTCCGCCCTACTTCAACCTACCTATTGGATGCGATCATCTGCGTGCCCAGCCGGAAAGGACAGTTAAAACCGAAACGTCTGCAAGAGGAGGGTAAACGTTTGCCATGTGGGCGGTCCCGAAGGCTGGTCTATAAGTAAGATGATCCTTGCACATAGAACGGAACCTAAAACTGGTCTACTGACGTAATATGGGGAAAGAGAAGGTACGAGAGTTCGGACGGGAACGCGTAGCAAACTCGCGACCAAATCTTTTGTCGTCTAACCTTGTCGGACAAGTCGTTCTGAACACTGTCCTCGTATTACCGTGCTCGGAATGCCTGCGAAGCGCTGCTATTGCTGCATACTCGTAGTACCATAGGAAACCGACTATTCACCCGGTTTTGGCTCTCGCAGCATGCTCGGATGTGGCTGCCGCTACCTATTTGCGGGCAACATCACGCGTGTTCCCTCGCTGCTGCGGCTGCTGCTGCTGCTGCTGAACGGACTTCGCTTCTTTCTGCTGCTGCTGCTACCGCCGCCGCCAATAACACAAGATTCGGTTGGCGTCGAAGACACGATCGAAGCCCTCCACAGCGACGGGAAGTACGCCGTCTGCTACATCTCGATCGGGACGTGGGAGCCCTGGCGCGCCGACAAGCACGAGTTCCCCCAGGAAGCTCTCAAAAACAACCTGGCCAACTGGCCGGACGAGCAGTGGATCGACATTGGGTATACCGGGAAGGGCGCAACGGTGCGAAATATTCGGGCATTCCGGCTTGGCTGGGTTGCTCCTCGTCTAGCATAGCTCCGTATTGTTCCATTTTTCTCTGTGGGTGCTTTGTCATCGTCTTGTCTGAGGCCAAAGAAAAGGGTGTGGTCGACGACTGACAAACAAACATGCACTCGTCAGTGCGGTTTTGCGCAGCCACACGTTGTCCACTCTGCGAGTGTGTACAAAGAGGCAATAATGGTATTCCGTTGTCACCGCCACCATTCACTCCCCAATTCATATCTGCGTTTGGCGCATTATTAATCCCTCAGCGGACGGGTGATCGTACAGAGCGGCTCTTTTTTCGCAGCACCGCCAACAATATTCGACGTGGAGAGCGCCCATTGCCAACTACCGTAGGACTAGCATGAGGTCAAAACTACGGTAGCTATGCCAGGTTTTCGAAGAATTTGGTGTTTCCTGGTGGGACCTGGATCATCGGTGTTGTTCATCGACTATCGTCCCCTTCAGGAAAGATGCGACGCTACTGAGACAATGATGGCGAATGCCGGCAGCGAGTCACGCGCTGGCTCCCAGCGGGACATCCCCCGCCCGAGATACTCACGGTCCGCAGCGAGAAGGCTAAACTTGTAACTGCAGACGATATTCTGCACCCTCTCTCTCCATGTCAACTCTTACTTGTGCGCGCTTGCTGCGATCTAGGAAGTCGGGACATAATACTGTAGACGTTTTGACTGTGCCCGCCCTTCACGTGCTCATCTGTTTCCTCGCCACTCTGGCTTGCCGACGACAATAACCCACGCTGTTTTCCGTGGCTTGGCTGTCGATGCTGGGACATAATACTGTAGACGTTTTGACTGTGCCCGCCCTTCACGTGCTCATCTGTTTCCTCGCCACTCTGGCTTGCCGACGACAATAACCCACGCTGTTTTCCGTGGCTTGGCTGTCGATGCTGGGACATAATACTGTAGACGTTTTGACTGTGCCCGCCCTTCACGTGCTCATCTGTTCCCCCGCCACTCTGGCGTGCCGACGACAAATAACCCACGCTGTTTTTCGTGCCCTGGCTGTCGATGCTCGACCTTTTCTGTGTGGGTGTGTAGGACAAGACCGTCATGGACATCATGAAAGCTCGTGTGGATAGGGCGGCATCCCTGGGGTGTGACGGGATCGAGCCGGACAACATGTCGGTGAGCTTGGCTCTTGGCAAGACATGCAGTAGTCATTGAAGAGAGACACGATATACAAGGGCTGGATGTTGTGGTGGTTTGCAGGAAGGAGGGCGGCAACACTGAGTGTGCACGCGTTGACAAACAAAAAGCGCCTGTGTTTCGCCTGGCCGTGAGGCCCACACCGCTTATTGAGACTGGGGGTCTAGTGTATCCCTCTCGTACGTACTTCGACCGGCTGGTCATCCGAAATGAGGGTGGCCACAATACCGCGCACGGTATTCCTCTCCCGCATGTAGGTGCCATTCCCATGCGTTCTCTCGGCGAGACGGTTCCGAACATCGTTCCGGAGATCGTCCCGTAGTCCCCCTTCGTCTGCCGGCCCTCACGCCTTGCTCTCTGTCCTGCTGCTGAGATACTCCAGGGTTCCCACGTTAAATTGACACGAAAATTTTGGACTGAGATAGATCGACACCAAAAAAAGTGACAGTTGGCAAATTGACACGAAAAAAGGTAACGGTTGCTAAATTGACACGAAAAAATATTCCGCCGCACGTTGCCTGGCGAAGGGCAGCAGCGGCGCAGCCTCAAGTTAAAAAAAATTCAACCCCAGCTGCACCGCTGCACCGCCGGGAAGAAACCCAACGGTCGCGCTCCCTCATCACCGCACCCGACACGGAGCGAGGGGATGGCGCGCCTTGCGCGAGGTAGGATCCGCTACTAGTGGTATGATGAGTGCATGCAGGTTCTACTGCTTGCTGTGTTGTGCGCGCTAGCTGGAGAGGAGGACATGTTCCTCGTGATGGCCATGTTTGGCGTAGCAAAGCTGGTGACATGCTTTCTCTCCACTCCCGAGAACTACACTCCGCGAACTACACTCCCCAAATCCCAACCGCCGCCAGCGGCTTCGCGCCCCTAGTACGTGCGCCCAGAGCTACCGTCTCTTCCACCAACAACTACTGTAACCTCTCCCTTCACGGGTGGGGCACCCGACTAGCTGCTGTTGTGGTCATCTCCCGTGTGCTTCGAGTTTNAGAGGAGGACATGTTCCTCGTGATGGCCATGTTTGGCGTAGCAAAGCTGGTGACATGCTTTCTCTCCACTCCCGAGAACTACACTCCGCGAACTACACTCCCCAAATCCCAACCGCCGCCAGCGGCTTCGCGCCCCTCGTACGTGCGCCCAGAGCTACCGTCTCTTCCACCAACAACTACTGTAACCTCTCCCTTCACGGGTGGGGCACCCGACTAGCTGCTGTTGTGGTCATCTCCCGTGTGCTTCGAGTTTAGAGTCCGGACAGACCAACCTCGGAGTGTTTTGTTCTCGATCCCGCGATGAACGCACACGATCCAAACCGCGGCTTGACGTTCCCCTATCGCGATGTACTCCCGGGAGCGTTGTGTTCACGTGTGTGGGTGTGCGGGAGGCTGCGTGCGAGCTTGTCGACTGAATTGATGCCTTCGTGTGTGTGCGATGGCGCTCGTGTCAATATGTCGTTTGCTCGTGTCAAAATACCTCAGGTGAAAATATTTTGACCACGTTTTCGAAAAAATTTTACCTGTGATTCTGACATGAAAAAGTGCGGCGTAAAATAACCTCTCGTGTCAAAATTCTGACGTCTCGTGTCAAAATTCTGGTCTCGTGTCAAAATTTCGTGCTCGTGTCAAAATTCCTGACACACGTGGGACCCATGAACTCGAGCGCGGGAAATGGACGGCGTTTCATGTGCACTTCGTGGAATCGTAAGACCTTGGCGTTCGGGGCATGTCATAAGGTATCCTTTTGTCTACTCTGATCTTAACCCGATGTCAGAATCAACAACAGAACAACAACAATCATTCTGTTTCCGCAACCAGAACCACGATTTTTTCCTATTGGTGTGACGAGATCAGTGTGGAGTTACAGTTCGACCACCGTTTGCAGGTTGGAGCCGCTTCGCTTTTTCAGTCCGATTCCTTTTTTATCCTTCCGTGCTCTCACGGTCGCTCGCTGTCGCTCACTCCCAGGCAACACTGAGCAAAATGGAACGAACGCTTGTTCATCGCTTGCAGCTGCTACATGTATGTAGTATCCATTATGCAGCTAAAATTTACCTGCCTAATGAGGAAATACCGGGAATCTGGGCAGCAGGTGGTCGTGGTATTTCTGCAAGATGTACCACCCAGATGGCATCTTAGTCCAGGGGTCCAAACCCCATAACACTGGGCCGTGCTGTAGCTATGCTTGTTTTTTCGTGCGATATTCCAGGTGGCCTTCGAAGACTCCGGCTACACCGGAATCGAATCTGTTACGCAGGCGAAGAACCTCGAATACAACGTGGAATTCGCCCAATATGTGAGGACCCGATGTGCCCACCTGTGTTTTGTTTTCGTAGGAACTCCCCCTTCTTCAGTCCGGAGGATGGATGCTATACGACGTTCCTTCTCTCGCCATTTCGATGAAAAATTCCCCCAGTCAAGTCGGTTCTCAAAGCGACGTGGTTATTCGACGGCGGTGTGCAGGAACAAAACTAAATACTGCAATTATTTCATTATTTCAATGAATTCACAAGTTAGGTGTTCTTAGTTCGTATCCTGGATCGATCGTCTCCGCAGGTCAAGTTGCAGGGAATGAAAGTTGCCATGAAGAACCTAATTTGGGAATCGACCGAAGTGAACCTGAAGGAACACGCCCAGAACTACGACTTCGCCATCGTCGAGGAGTGCGCGCAGTACAACGAATGCGGCGTGAGTGCTCCCCAAGAAGCTGGCAACCCCACGGAATATAGTTGCTAGCAAAGTCCTTAGGGGGTTAAAGAGACGTAGAAGGGTTTCTCGCTTTGGAAACATAAGCTGTTCTACACAGATACGATGCGCCTCTACTGTCGGGTGCCTGTCAATCCGTGCTGGTACCCTGTTTTTCTTCCCGCCTCTTCTGTCGGATGTCTGTCAATCTGTGCTGGTACCCTGTTTTTCTTCCCAGCGGAAGTTCAAATCCTGAATCTTCCTCCCCCCGCGCTTCGCGCCTTCTGCCCCAACTGCGGGTTTGGCCTTTATGTTGGCAGCTCGCCGAGGGATGGAACATGGGTGATGACGTGTCGCCAAAGAAGCCGGTCTTCCACGTCGAGTGAGTGATTGTTCACTACTACTGTGGAACACCGCTTCTCCCTGCATTTCAGTTCCAAAATTCATCATCTCAACACGACGGGTCGCTTTCGTTGTTCTGACACGATGGTTCACCGACTTGTTCGGCTTCTCGCAGACCCCAGTCCATGCGCTTTCGCCCACAAGGTTCCTTCGGTGGTCTCGCAAGGATACGTAAGATAGGTACCCGCTCGCGCTTTCGATTTGTCGTATTGTGCGGGTCAGTTTAACACTTCGTTTACGCAAACACGGCCTACAATTAGGTACCAGCTGTACCAAGCCGATGTTCAGTCCATGCTACTGCTCCACCAACTAAGGAAAATAATATGGAAACAAACATGCAGAACAGGACTGATATCAGTCAGATTCTACACACCACAAGCAACATTCACTGAACAAACACGTACCCAAAGTTGTTTGTTAACAGTGCCTTTTTCGTGTATTCTACATTATGACGGGGTTGCTAAATGACTTTTTCCGAATGCGATTGTTTGTTTCAGGTACCGCGAGACTGGCCGCAGTGCGATCCTAAACATGTGCAGCGACAAGGCTAACTCGGACTTCAAGGATTTCGCCACCATCATCAAGGTCGTACTTTTTTTTTAGCCGTAGCTCCATCACACCTACAGTACCTCCTTTTCGTTACTGCGCTCTTTGTCGGGACGGGACCGCAAACGCAACCAACCTTAATAATGCCCAAACAGGCTGAATAGACTAAACTCTTAGTACACGAACTGTCTAAGAGTAGAACGGCTACGACGGGTGTCGCGGAATATCTTCCTGTTCGACACTCTTTTGTGCCGCCGCATGGCTCACACTACTATAGGGAGTGTCGCGTCCGTATTTCTGTACTCTTTTCTCATCTCCTCTCTACAGGTTTTGATGAAGCTTAGGTCGAGGGTCACTCACTTAGTGACATTTTTCTTTTCTGTCGTCGTTTCTCCGAACCAACGATGTTGGTTCATCCGGGCCTGAAAGCAATACGACAGACTACTACGTGATGAAGCTCGTGAACACAAGCTCAACGCTGCGCGCCTAGCTAGACTGCTGTGGATTGGTACGTATGCATGCAGAATAATAAGATATTCTACGCTGATTCCCTGGCGGCGGGGTTGAAGGTTGGATGCGTAGCACCGCGGTCAAGTGAATATGAATGAATACATTGCAAACGGGCCATGTGGGGCTTCTGTATAAATCGACAATTTAGCCTGACGCATGCTGTGCGCCTTCGTTTTGCTCGATGTTTACTGTGACCTACATGTGGATGACCCCCCCTCCTCTCCTGCCTCGTATTCGTTCGTCTTGTTCGACTCGCTATGCAGACGTACCCAGCGTGGGGGCCGTACTGCACGTGCGACGAATCTAACGTGTGGAGGTGCGCCAGAAGCCTGAACCGGAACTTTTATTGATCGACGGTGCTGCACAGTCAGCCATCTGCCCACAGAAGAGTAGTCGTACTTCCAATGTGTTGACACACATGTATGGCGAACCCGTTCAGAAGGGAGACATCGATTTTCTTCAGGGGGAGACATGAGTCGTTGCCGTGAACATGGCGTTTGAGCGCGTCGGCTCTTCTTCTATTGTACATCATACCTTTTTCTTCGGAACCCATCCCATGGAGTACCTACTGCGTTATATTTTGAGAGAGTTAACTCGGTGGGTGCGCGGTTGTATCACGTTCAGCGCATAGTTTACATAGTCCAGGGAACGAGGTCGTGGTAGAAGAATTGGATCCGTCAAGGATGGAAGAATGTTTTTGAGTTTTGTGAAAACTCTAAGGCGATGCCATTGTTGCTGCCAGGGAGACTTGCGTAGGCCCAAAATATTCCAGCAGGGGTGCCGAATCGTCAGATGGATTAACGAATCTAACTCTGTTCAGTCTAATAGCCCGGTACAGCGGGGAAACTGTTACAATAACGCCTTTTTGGGAGGCCCTGAGGACTTGAATACAGATATGACCAAATGTTGGTTGTTTTTTTCTGTTGTCGCCAACGCAAGCAGTAATCGTAGGACCTGTTCGCAATGGCAGTTCCAGAGTCATATAATAGAGGCCAGAGGTTGGTGTATTCCTATCGGCAAGGTATTCTGTTAGTAGGGCAATGTCGTTGGACACGGAGCGTAGTATGTAGATGTCCACCGGGACAGGGTGAATGCACGTAGCGTGTAGATACCCGTGCACCGGAAGCCGGGGTGAACAAAGAAAAGCCCCCACGTATGATGCATAGCGGGCTGGAGAGAGGATGCGAACAAAGGAGACGGTGCCAGCAGAGGCTACCATCACCGGCTACTGTTGACTGTAGACGGAACGATACTTTCATCAAGAATAAGAAATGCGCAACATCCAAGAAAGACTACCCTACCCGTTTGAGAAAATACCTCATTCGAAGGGACGAATTGAGGTCGCCACAACAACAGTGAAAGTTATGGAGGCACCTTCTCGTACGTGAAGTTTTGACGTGCTTGCAGAAACATGGAACACGCCGGCACGCCCATTGGTTCGGATTCGGCGACGTGGGCCTGCTGAGAATAAAAGCCTTATCGAGTCTATTTTTTCTCGAACCCTAAAAACGAATCAACGGTTAAGGCTCATGCCAGCGCCGCCGCCCCGAAATTTCCCGTCAATATAGAAGCTGATCCCTACGGCCCG